GTGATGTTGATGGTGATGATGTTGGTGGTGATGATGTTGATGATGGTAGTGATGGTATTGGTGATGTTGATGGTGATGATGTTGATGGTGATGATGTTGGTGTTGGTAGTGATGGTATTGGTGATGTTGATGGTGATGATGTTGATGGTGGTAGTGATGGTATTGATGATGTTGATGGTGATGATGTTGATGGTGATGATGTTGGTGTTGGTAGTGATGGTATTGGTGATGTTGATGGTGATGATGTTGATGGTGATGATGTTGGTGTTGGTAGTGATGGTATTGGTGATGATGTTGATGGTGATGATGTTGATGGTGATGATGTTGATGTTGATGGTGATGATGTTGGTGTTGGTAGTGATGGTATTGGTGATGTTGATGGTGATGATGTTGGTGGTGGTGATGTTGGTGTTGGTATTGGTGATGATGTTGATGGTGGTAGTGATGGTATTGGTGATGGTAGTGATGGTATTGGTGATGATGTTGATGGTGGTAGTGATGGTATTGGTGATGGTAGTGATGGTATTGGTGATGATGTTGATGGTGATGATGTTGATGGTGATGATGTTGGTGTTGGTAGTGATGGTATTGGTGATGTTGATGGTGATGATGTTGATGGTGGTAGTGATGGTATTGATGATGTTGATGGTGATGATGTTGATGGTGATGATGTTGGTGTTGGTAGTGATGGTATTGGTGATGTTGATGGTGATGATGTTGATGGTGATGATGTTGGTGTTGGTAGTGATGGTATTGGTGATGATGTTGATGGTGATGATGTTGATGGTGATGATGTTGATGTTGATGGTGATGATGTTGGTGTTGGTAGTGATGGTATTGGTGATGTGATGGTGATGATGTTGGTGGTGGTGATGTTGGTATTGGTGATGATGTTGATGGTGGTAGTGATGGTATTGGTGATGGTAGTGATGGTATTGGTGATGATGTTGATGGTGATGATGTTGATGGTGATGATGTTGGTGTTGGTAGTGATGGTATTGGTGATGTTGATGGTGATGATGTTGATGATGGTAGTGATGGTATTGATGATGTTGATGGTGATGTTGATGGTGATGATGTTGATGGTGATGATGTTGGTGTTGATGGTGATGATGTTGATGGTGATGATGTTGGTGTTGATGGTGATGATGTTGGTGTTGGTGCTGTTGGTGTTACCGATTGCGTTCCCTCTTCCTCCTATCGGCGGTCACGTGACTTCCCCCGGCACGGCCCCACGTGACTCCTCGTGATTCGATTCCTCTTTTTCGACTTCTCGTGATTCGATTCCTCAGCACGAGTTTCCTCTTGAATCGATTCCCAAGTTCGGATTCCTCCTTAATCGATTTCTCTTCATCGGAATCCTCTTTATTAAACCCCCCACAATTCGGCCACTATCATATCGATCCCTGTCAATTGATTCCCCTTCACACGACTCCTCTCCATTAGGATCACATTTCGATTCCTCTATCGACTGCTGCCTTCGTATTGATTTACGTTGAAGAAATCGAATCGAAGTCACGTGATCTCGTCATTAATATTCATGAGCGGTCTCGTGACCGCACGCCCCCCCAGTCAGAGCTCGCTCCTGATTGGTTCCCTCGCGGTGGGGGGGGGGGGGGGCAGCGTTCGGAAACTCCACTTTCGCTGCGAGGCAGTTTTCATTTCGCTGTGTCACGTGGGTCGGCGCCGATTCACGCGGGTTCGAGGATGAATTGTCTCAGATGGCAAAATTGTGACAACAGATTTCGATGCAAAAACTTCTTTCGTGACTGCAGGGATTCATCTTCTTGGTTCTATCGGTAAAGTCATCACGTAGAAGGGAAATAATGAAATAATAAAAAATAAAACAAAATATAATGTTATTTCATTATGTTATTAAGTAGAAGGGAAATAATAAAATAATAAAAAATAAAACATAATAAGATAATATAATAAAATAAACTAATATAATATAATAAAATAATAAATTAAAATTATATGATTATAATATAATGAAATAGTAAAATAATATGATAATATAATATTATTATATTTCGATTTAAAGCTTTCGTGACTGCAGGATTCATCTTCTTGGTTCTTTCGGTAAAGTCACGTAGAAGGGAAATAATAAAATAATAAAAATAAAACATAATAAAATTATATAATAAAATAATATTATATAATAATATGGGCAGTGTTGAGTCTATGGGCAGTGTTGAGTCTATGGGCAGTGTTGAGTCTATGGGCAGTGTTGAGTGTATGGGCAGTGTTGAGTCTATGGGCAGTGTTGAGTCTATGGGCAGTGTTAGTCTATGGGCAGTGTTGAGTCTATGGGGCAGTGTTGAGTCTATGGGGCAGTGTTGAGTCTATGGGTAGTGTTGAGTCTATGGGCAGTGTTGAGTCTATGGGCAGTGTTGAGTCTATGGGCAGTGTTGAGTCTATGGGCAGTGTTGAGTCTATGGGCAGTGTTAGTCTATGGGCAGTGTTGAGTCTATGGGGCAGTGTTGAGTCTATGGGCAGTGTTGAGTCTAAGGGGCAGTGTTGAGTCTATGGGCAGTGTTGAGTCTATGGGCAGTGTTGAGTCTATGGGCAGTGTTGAGTCTATGGGCAGTGTTGAGTCTATGGGCAGTGTTGAGTGTATGGGCAGTGTGAGTCTATGAGCAGTATTGAGTCTATGGGCAGTGTTGAGTGTATGGGGCAGTGTTGAGTCTATGGGGCAGTGTTGAGTCTATGGGCAGTGTTGAGTCTATGGGGCAGTGTTGAGTCTATGGGCAGTGTTGAGTCTATGGGGCAGTGTTGTGTCTATGGGCAGTGTTGAGTTTATGGGCAGTGTTGAGCATATGGGCAGTGTTGAGTCTATGGTGCAGTATAGAGTCTATGGGTAGTGTTGAGTCTATGGGCAGTGTTGAGTCTATGGGCAGTGTTAGTCTATGGGCAGTGTTGAGTCTATGGTGCAGTGTTGAGTCTATGGGCAGTGTTAGTCTATGGGCAGTGTTAGTCTATGGGCAGTGTTGAGTCTATGGGCAGTGTTAGTCTATGGTGCAGTGTTGAGTCTATGGGCAGTGTTGAGTCTTTGGGCAGTGTTAGTCTATGGTGCAGTGTTGAGTCTATGGGCAGTGTTAGTCTATGGGCAGTGTTGAGTCTATGGTGCAGTGTTGAGTCTATGGGCAGTGTTGAGTCTTTGGGCAGTGTTAGTCTATGGGCAGTGTTGAGTCTATGGGCAGTGCTGAGTGTATGGTGCAGTGTTTAGTCTATGGGCAGTGTGAGTCTATGAGCAGTTTTGAGTCTATGGACAGCGTTAGTCTATAGTCAGTGATATAGTCTATGGGCAGTGTTGAGTCTATGGCAGTGTTGAGTCTGTGGGTGGCAGTGTTGAGTCTATGGGTAGTGTTGAGTCTGTGGACAGTGTTGAGTCTATGGACAGTGTTGAGTGTATGGGCAGTGTTGAGTCTATGGGTGGCAGTGTTGAGTCTATGGGCAGTGTTGAGTCTATGGACAGTGTTGAGTGTATGGACAGTGTTGAGTGTATGGGCAGTGTTGAGTCTATGGGCAGTGTTGAGTCTATGGGCAGTGTTGAGTGTATGGTGCAGTGTTTAGTCTATCGGCAGTGTTGAATCTGTGGGCAGTGTTGAGTCCAAGGACTGGTAACCCCTCCACATTCAATTTAATTACCACAAGAATACGTGGAAAATATTGAACTAATCTTGTGTCAGAGGCCCCGGGGGGACAGGCGTCTATGACATCTCCTAGCTAAACCCCATTTGGCGGAGCCAGGAAACTGAACCCGTACCCACAGGGCTCCTCCAGAAACGGCAAAGATACGCACTGCGCGTGGCCACGTGGAATGTTTCAATGTTCACTGCGGAAGAGACGCTGCCACTCCTCTGTCAGAAGCTGGCCTGGTACCGCCTGGATCTCTGTGGCATTCAGGAGGTCCAGTGGACAGGTTCTGGCACCAGTCACCATGAGGGGTGGACAGTCCTCTACTCAGGGCAGGAGACTGTTAAACAACAGGGAGTGGCTCTTCTTCTGAACAAAAGAATTAAGGGGGTATGGGAGCGTGACAGTGAGGTGTGGGAAGCTGTGCGTCCTAGGCTACTGTGGGCTCGCCTTCCCATCAACAAGAGGCAAGGAAAGATGGTGATGGTGGTTGGTTACACCCCCATCAAAGATGAACATCAGTGGAGGGATGCAGACAAGGCCAATGAATCAGATGCCTTCTACGACCTCCTGTCACAGGTGCTGGCTAAAGTGGCCCCTCGAGATAGAGTCATCCTGTTGGGTGACTTCAATGCCAGAGTCGGTCATGGCACTGGCACCTGGTCTGGAGTGATTGGAAGGCATGGGCCAGATCAGCTCACTAACAACGGTAGGAGGCTGCTAGATGTTTGTGCAACCCATGGGCTTGTAATTACCAACACGCTGTTCCGGCATTGCTGCATCCATACATCGTGAATGCACGCCGCGTCCATTGAAGAACATCTGCTGGACTACATAGTGATAGAACAGCGGATGCGGGCCTATGTTCTTGACACCAGGACCTACCGTGGAGCGGATATTTTGGCTTGTCATCTGGAAGATGCACCTGCCATTCTTCCATTCCGGTGGTTAGCGAACCTTCGACACTTCACATAGACACACAGAGAGAGACACACGCAGAGAGAGACACACAGACACACGCAGAGAGAGACACAGAGAGAGAGAGAGACACACACAGACACACACAGAGAAAGACACGCAGAGAGAGACACACAGACACACACAGAGAGAGACACACAGAGGGACACACACACAGATGGAGAGATAGAATCAGAGAGACACGGAGAGAGAGAGAAACACACACACACACAGATGGAGAGTGAACAGAGAGAGTGAGAGGCAATTTTGTATGCGCATGAGTGTGTGTGTGAGTGTGTGAGAGCCAAGTCCCTCATTGTAACATCTCTGAGCCCTTTCAATTAGTTTTTTTTCACTCGAATGACGTCAACTTCTCTCTCACTCTCTCCGTCTCTCTCTGTCTCTCTCTCGCTGTCTCTCTCACTCTCTCGCTGTCTCTCCCAGATCCCAGCTGAGAGACTCACTCTCTCTCTCTCGCTGTCTCTCTCTCGCTGTCTCTCTCACTCTCTCGCTGTCTCTCTCACTCTCTCGCTGTCTCTCCCAGATCCCAGCCGAGAGACTCTCTCTTTCTCCCAACGTCTCCGAAGTTGATCGAACTTCGAGCCTCCACTCTCCACGAGCACCATCGGAGAGGACCTCACTCACTCATGGGTGAGTTTAAAATTCAACCCTCACTCACCCACTCACAGACACTCACTCATGGGTGAGTTTAAAATTCAACCCTCACTCACCCACTCACACAGTCACTCACTCACCCACTCACGCAGTCACTCACTCACACAGTCACTCACCCACTCACACAGTCACTCACACAGTCACTCACACAGTCACTCACTCAGTCACTCACTCACACAGTCACTCACCCACTCACACAGTCACTCACCCACTCACACAGTCACTCACCCACTCACACAGTCACTCACACAGACACTCACTCACAGTCACTCACCCACTCACACAGTCACTCACTCACCCACTCACACAGACACTCACTCATGGGTGAGTTTAAAATTCAACCCTCACTCACACACTCACACAGACACTCACTCACAGTCACTCACCCACTCACACAGTCAGTCACTCACCCACTCACACAGTCACTCGCTCATCCACTCACTCAGTCACCCACTCACCCACTCACACAGTCACTCGCTCATCCACTCACTCAGTCACCCACTCACCCACTCACACAGTCACTCACTCACAGTCACTCACCCACTCACACAGTCACTCACTCATGGGTGAGTTTAAAATTCAACCCTCGTTCACCCACTCACACAGACACTCACTCACCCACTCAGCCACTCACTCACTCACTCAGTCACTCACTCACCCACTCACTCACTCAGTCACTCACTCAGCCACTCAGCCACTCACTCACCCACTCACTCACTCAGCCACTCACTCATGGGTGAGTTTAAATTCAACCCTCACTCACCCACTCACACAGACACTCACTCACAGTCACTCACCCACTCACACAGTCACTCACTCACCCACTCACACAGTCACTCATGGGTGAGTTTAAAATTCAACCCTCATTCACCCACTCACACAGACACTCACTCAGCCACTCACTCACCCACTCACACAGTCACTCACTCAGCCACTCACCCACTCAGCCACTCACTCACTCAGTCACTCACTCACCCACTCACTTACTCAGTCACTCACTCAGCCACTCAGCCACTCACTCACTCACTCAGCCACTCACTCATGGGTGAGTTTAAAATTCAACCCTCGTTCACCCACTCACACAGACACTCACTCACCCACTCACTCACTCAGTCACTCACTCAGCCACTCAGCCACTCACTCACCCACTCACTCACTCAGCCACTCACTCATGGGTGAGTTTAAAATTCAACCCTCACTCACCCACTCACTCAGCCACTCACTCACCCACTCACACAGTCACTCACTCAGCCACTCACCCACTCAGCCACTCACTCACTCAGTCACTCACTCACCCCACTCACTTACTCAGTCACTCACTCAGCCACTCAGCCACTCACTCACTCACTCAGCCACTCACTCATGGGTGAGTTTAAAATTCAACCCTCACTCACCCACTCACACATACACTCACTCACAGTCACTCACCCACTCACGCAGTCACTCACTCACCCACTCACACAGACAGTCACTCACCCACTCACGCAGACACTCACTCACCCACTCACGCAGACACTCACTCACCCACTCACACAGTCACTCACTCACCCACTCACACAGACACTCACTCACCCACTCACTCAGCCACTCACTCAGCCACTCACCCACTCAGCCACTCACTCAGCCACTCACTCATCCACTCACTCACTCAGCCACTCACTCAGTCACTCACTCAAACTGCCACTCATCCACTCAGCCGCAACAAAGACAAGACCCCCCGTACAGCCTGTAACGGACTGTAACAGCCTGTAACACACTGTGTAGTGCATAGCCTGTAACAGACTGTGTAGTGCATAGCCTGTAACAGACTGCAACAGCCTGTAACAGACTGTAACAGCCTGTAACAGGCTGTGCATAGCCTGTAACAGGCTCGCTGTTAGCGAGTAGCACCTACAAAGGCCGTCACGACACACGAGGGGGGTGGGTGGGTGGCCAGCACCACACCCGGCCGTCTTTGTCTCCCCAGTGCCACTCTTTACAGCCCGCACCAGGTACTTATTTGAGGCTGAGTCGACTTAGCAGAGTCCCAGGACCAGTTCAGATGATCCTCACTGGTGTTGGCATTGCACGGAAATCAAACTCGTGTCGCTAGTTTCGTAGCGCAGCGCGCTCACCAACACTCGACCCCTCCTCCCACAAGCACTTTCCTTCGGAGTGGGCAGGCGGGAACTTGGTTGGACAGCGCGTTCGTGCACGACAGACAGACACATAATCCCTGATGTGCAAGTGTGGGACCTGTTGTTCCTACCTGTGTGTACAAGTATGGAACCTGTTGTTCCTACCTGTGTGTACAAGTGTGGGACCTGTTGTTCCTACCTGTGTGTACAGGTGTGGGACCTGTTGTTCCTACCTGTGTGTACAAGTGTGGGACCTGTTGTTCCTACCTGTGTACAAGTGTGGAACCTGTTGTTCCTACCTGTGTACAAGTGTGGGACCTGTTGTTCCTACCTGTGTACAAGTGTGCAACCTGTTGTTCCTACCTGTGTGTACAAGTGTGGGACCTGTTGTTCCTACCTGTGTACAAGTGTGCAACCTGTTGTTCCTACCTGTGTGCACAAGTGTGGAACCTGTTGTTCCTACCTGTGTACAAGTGTGGAACCTGTTGTTCCTACCTGTGTACAAGTGTGGGACCTGTTGTTCCTACCTGTGTGTACAAGTGTGCAACCTGTTGTTCCTACCTGTGTGTACAAGTGTGGGACCTGTTGTTCCTACCTGTGTGTACAAGTGTGGAACCTGTTGTTCCTACCTGTGTACAGGTGTGGAACCTGTTGTTCCTACCTGTGTGTACAGGTGTGGGACCTGTTGTTCCTACCTGGATGTACAAGTGTGGGACCTGTTGTTCCTACCTGTGTGTACAGGTGTGGGACCTGTTGTTCCTACCTGTGTGTACAAGTGTGGGACCTGTTGTTCCTACCTGTGTGTACAAGTGTGGAACCTGTTGTTCCTACCTGTGTACAAGTGTGGAACCTGTTGTTCCTACCTGTGTACAAGTGTGGAACCTGTTATTTCTACCTGTGTACAAGTGTGGAACCTGTTGTTCCTACCTGTGTACAAGTGTGGAACCTGTTGTTCCTACCTGTGTACAAGTGTGGAACCTGTTGTTCCTACCTGTGTACAAGTGTGGGACCTGTTGTTCCTACCTGTGTACAAGTGTGGGACCTGTTGTTCCTACCTGTGTGTACAAGTGTGGGACCTGTTGTTCCTACCTGTGTGTACAAGTGTGGGACCTGTTGTTCCTACCTGTATAAAAGACCTGTATGTATAAAGATAAAACTTGACTTTAGGTAGCCAGGCAGACAGCCCCCTTAACTATCGCCCCCCCCCCCCTTAGGCCCCTCCCCTGACCCCCCCCCCCTTAGGCCCCTCCCCTGACCCTCCTTCCTTAGGCCCCTCCCCTCTCCGTACCCGGCAGTAGGTCTCCACCAATCAAAGAGCTGTGTTTATTATATATTTATTTATGCACGACAGACAGACAGACAGAAACTCCCTGGTGGGCAGTGTGGAACATTGTTCCGAGCTGTGTAACCACGTGCACTCAATTGCTATCGAGTCCGGAGAACTCCCCGTGAACGTGGGAGAGACGTCGCTTAACGTCCGTGTCATCCACAGCGCCACTGCTGTCTGCCCTGTGCTGTGTGCGGGAAATCCTCGCGCAACGCTGACTCGCGGAACGCGTGTCTCGGCTGTGCACGCTGCGTCTCCTCGTGAGCTCTGCGCTCTGCAGCACGGGCTGATTGCCACCTCTGCCATGTGGATTTGGGAATTCAGAGTCGGGGGGCGAGCGTGTGGGCTGGTGTTTTAGAGTTGGGGGTGAGCGTGTGGGTTGGTGTTTTAGAGTTGGGGGTGAGCGTGGGGCATGAGTGATGGAGGGGGGGGGAGGTGAAATGTAAGAATCGTGTACACACACACACGAGAAAAAAAAATAGAAATAAAATAAATGTTTCTTACTATTATTTTTTTATTTCTAATCTTTTGTTTCTTTCTAATATGTTTTTCTTTCTAATATTTTTTCTATTATTATTTATTATTATTAATTTTTTACCTACGTGACTTTACCGAAACAACCTCACTCAGAGTATGAATTCTTGCAGTCACGAAAGCTTCAAATCTAGAGTATAATAAGAGGGGACAGAAATCTGGTAGAATTCGCTCATGACAATGCGTCCTCGTTCTTTGCGAGGGAAATGTTCCGGAGATGCTCGTGAATAGAATATTTAACGGAAAATGATAAAAGTCACGTAGAATGGAAGTAATAAAATATTAAAAATAAAACATAATAAAATAATTCTCACGACGTTTCGGCCACAACGCAAGCAGCCGTCCTCAGGTGAAGAACAGGTCTGTCGGAAAGACAGCGTCTGAATTATGTTTTATTTTTATTATTTTATTATTTCCCTTCTACGTGATGACTTTACCGAAAGAACCAAGAAGATGAATCCCTGCAGTCACGAAAGAAGCTTTACATCGAAAGTTGTCGTGTTTGGTAAATGTGTTGATTTGACGTGAACGCTGCGCACAGCAGGTTAGTGAAGTTGGACAGGTGAACGAGACGCGCCGATTGGTAGAAGATAAAATACAACAAAGTTAGTTTAGATTTTAGGGGTAGTGGTAGGGGCAGTGGTAGGGGTAGTGGTAGGGGAATTGGTAGGGGAATTGGTAGGGGTAGTGGTAGGGGTAGTGGTATGGGTAGTGGTAGGGGTAGTGGTAGTGGTGGTGGGGGTAGGGGTAGGGGTAGTGGTAGGGGTGGTGGTAGGGGTAGTGGTAGGGGTAGTGATATGGGTATTGGTAGGGGTAGTGGTAGTGGTGGTGGGGGTAGGGGTAGGGGTAGTGGTAGGGGTGGTGGTAGGGGTAGTGGTAGGGGTAGTGGTAGGGGTAGTGATATTGGTAGTGGTAGGGGTAGTGGTAGGGGTATGGGTATTGGTAGTGGTAGTGATATGGGTAGGGGTAGTGGTAGGGGTAGTGCTAGTGGTATGGGT